GAGAGAGAGAGAGAGAGAGAGAGAGAGAGAGAGAGAGAGAGAGAGAGAGAGAGAGAGAGAGAGAGAGAGAGAGATTGCAACGTGTGGTTTAACAAGAACATACCCGCACCAAGCGCGATGATTCTTCTGACGGCCTCTTCAAGCAGCTGAGGCTTTTCATTTTCTTCTCTGCCATTGTATCTTCCTCCTGCTGGTACTCTTCTTTTTCATGATCCTCCTTGCTGCTGCAATTTCCCTGGTCTTCCACAATCAATCTGACCTGATGACGCCAAACCCACAAACCAGTACAGAAGGAAACCACACGCACATACAATGAAAAACATGTGAGGGTGGAGTTAGCAGCTGCACTACTCTGATAGGAAAACAGGCTGTGTTGGCTGCGTTGGCTGCATGGTTATTTTCAAACACCAATATTCCCGAGCTTCCTTTTTACAACGCCCAATTTTGCCCACTCCCCGTGACTCCAGGAATTCCAACTTCACCATGTGTGATGGCCTGCGGGTGGCCACCCTAGCCTTTTGGGTCCTGGTAGGCCAAGCCTAGCCGCGACCCTGAGTTAACCGGCAGGTGGGGCCAGCCCAGCAGGGCAGAATAGTGATGGCTTAGGCCTCGATCTCACTGTCCACGGCACTGACTTAACAGGGGTTGGGCCAGCCAAGCAGTGCATAATAGTGATGGCTTAGGCTTGGCCCGAGGAGGGGTGGGGTGGGGTGGGGTGGGGTTGGGAGGGGGGGGGGCCACGTCCTCCGATGGCATTGGATGCCGGAAGGTTGTGGTCCAGACGACGTTGCCCGGGACCGTTTTGTGGACCACGGCAGTTGCCTAACTTATCTATTTGGGAAGGAAGCCTCTGGGTTTTCCTTTTCAGGAAACTTGCACCGTTTCCAGTGCCCGTTTTCGTGGCGGCGGTGGGGTTCGAACGAAATTGGCTAAAATCTTTCCAAACAGCTTTGGCCATTTTTGGCGGCCAAAGTGGTTTTCCAGCCACTGGCCAGTGGGGTCCAAGCCTTAGCCCTGGACCCAACTGCCTGGCGGTATCTTGGTGCCTTGAAAGTGTGTGCCTTGAAAGTGTGCACCAACACAAATCGTAGCCCCCACTGGTGGGAAAGAGAAAACGGGTTCCCACCACAGCACGAGTTTTGGCCAGGCCCATGGCTGCAGGTTACCTGATATGGAAAACTTTCCCTAAGCAGAGAGTAGACCTCCGCTTGAAGTTTTCTGCCAACCCAAATCGTAGGCCCCGGAGGTGGGAAAGAGAAAACGGGATCCCACCATGGCTGTGGGTTACCTGATAAGGAAAACTTTCCTTATACAGAGAGTAGAACTCCCTGGGTCTCCTTTCCCCATGGGATGGCCCAAACGAGCCGTGGGTCCCCCCCTTCTTCCTCAGGATGACCATTACCATTGGAAACCGGCAAACAGAACAAAGTGAAATGGCTGCCACATAGTTTCCAAGCATTTTGGCCGTTCCCTGCCCAAGCATGTCGTATCTCAATAAATGTCTTCCAAAGGCTTGGCAGAAAGCAGTAGGGCCCTGGTCTTTAACTGACATCACGTCCACGCAGATAGACAAACAGACTAACAACGGAGGCTTAGGCCTGGACCCCACTGCTGGGCAGTTGCTCGGCGCCCTGAGAGCTTCCAGACAAACAGACTAAAAACAGAGGCTTAGGCCTGGACCCCACTGCCATGCAGTCGCTTGGCGCCCCGAAAGCCTCCACTAACCCAAATTGTAGCCCAGGCGGGAAACAGAAAACGGGATCCTACCGCAGCATGAACTTTGGGCAGGTCCATGGCTGTGAGTTACTTGGTAAGGAGAACGTTCCCTGTAGAGAAAGTAGACCTTTGGTTGTCTCAGTCCCCATCTAATCCCTAGGTCTCCATTCCGCATCGGTTGGGGCCTAACCCCTAGGTATCCTTTCCGCATGGGATGGCCATTACCATCAGAAAGGGGCAAACAGAACTGAGTGAGAACGTCTGCCACGTAGTTTCCAAGCATTTGACGGTTCCCTGCCAAAGCATGTGGGCCCCTTCCAAAGGCTTGGCAGAAAGCAATGGGGTCCAGGCCTTCTACCCCACAGCCTGCAGTCGACAAAAGTCTGGAAACCTTTAGAAGCCAGAAATCATAGCCCACAGGGATGAGCAAGAGAACACGAGGTTGACTTCGCATCTGGAAAGTTTCCACCAAACCCAAATCGTAGGCCCTGAGAGAAAACCGGACCCCACTGCAGCACAATTTTTTGGCAGGTAGGTCACCCAATAGGGAAAAAGTTTCGGCAAGAGAAAACTGGACCCCACTGCAGCACAGATTTTCTGCAGGTCAGTTACCCAGTAGGGAAAACTTCGCCTATACAGAAACTTTACATCCTCTTGTCTCAGTTCTCACCCAATCCCTGGCTCTCCTTTCCACATGGGATGGCCGAACAGAGGGAGGTGCCTCCCCCTCCCCTTCCCCAGGACGCTCAGTGCAGTGAGGAACAGGCAAAGGCGACTGAGTGAAACCTTCTGCCACGTAATTTCTGAGCGTTGTGGACGCTCTGAATGTGAGGTCTCAGAAATCTTCTTCTAGAGCGCTCTTGCCGCAAAGCTGTGGGGTCCACCTCCAAATCCCACCCGGACAGCAATTTTCGGCACCTGCCCACCTTTATGTTACCGGATCAGGAAGGGGCAAACTGACATCCACTTTTTCAGCACTCCATCCAATTTGGTGCCTCTGTTACTCACGGGATGGCTAAAATGAGGGGGTAGGCTGGGGGCTAGCCTCTCATTTCAGCTATCCGGTGCAGAAACGGGGCACTGGGTTTGGATGGAGTGCTAGAAAAGCTGAGGTAGGTAGAGTAAAAAGGAAAGTCCTTGCTTTTACAAGCTATCAGTGGAATTTCAAACCACGAGTACTTCCGAGTGAGCCTCTTTTTCCCGAGAGCCTCTTTTAGCCTCTTCTTCCACCCGATCGAGTTGTTCCTTTGAAAAAAAAAAAAAAAAAAAAAAAAAAAAAAAAAAAAAAAAAAAAACGCCCTGCGCGCCAAAGAAAACAAAAACCAGCGCGGGCCTCCTTTAGGCTGGCGCTACCAGCCATTTTGCTCGCAATATTGCCGCTTGTCCCGTGTGGACTGACACGGCTGCTACCATCGGCACATTGAAGCACCCATGGTGTCCTGTGTGTCCATATGCACATTGAAGCACCCAGGTGCAGGATGCAAACGCGTGACACGTGGACATCCAGGTGGATTCCGACAATGACACCCTTGAAACCCCTGGCCCCGACATGTGGCGCGAAGGATTGAAATTCTCCCCTTATGCTGCAATGATGTGCAATCGTACAAAGCGATGAGCATGGACACTGCTCAGTAAATGTGCAAAATGAGAATGAATCTTCCGCTAGAACATGGAAAAAAAAACAACGCCATATTTTTTGTCGTTTGTGCATGTGGTGAGCAGTGGAGCGAGGCCCATAGTATAGGCGTTACTATCCGGATCGGTTTCACGACCCAATCTGCGGCCGGGATACAGAGCATCCAGACCGCGCTCAAAACCCCGATCTGTCGCATTGGGGGTAGCATCCAACGGCCAGCAGATGGTAATCGCACGGTAGAACGGTACTACGCAACAAGCATTGACATGGGCAAAACTGGTGCCGTCTTCACGCGAATAGAACGCACCGTTCTTGTAGCTGCATTTGAGGGAGCTTTTAGTCTAATATAGATACAGCCATAATCAATCGGGGGCTAGGTCCCACTTGCACGAATTAAGAGATACTGGCCGTAGATAGCAAAGATCAACGGCCGAAATCTCCTAATTTGCGCAAGTGGGACCCCTTGCCCCCGGGGTGCAGCAGACTGTAGTTTTATGTTACCTCTTTCTTATTTCCATTCCGTCTTTTGCAGTCACGGCCATCTAGCACAGCGACCCTGACGCCGATACATTCTCTCTCCGCCGGACTATAGCAAGGTTTCAATTTTTTTTTTGCATTTGTTTGCTTGGGTTCGAGACCCCATTCAATTGACCAAAGAAATGATACATTTCTTGGCATTTCGCGAAGATCGATCCAGTGTAGCATCACTTACAGCTATTTTCTTTCTATTGCCCTTCCTCAACATCTCCAACTCTGCCATCACTTCCGTTCTTCCCTTTCTCCTCTCTTCATCTCTCTCTACTGTATGTACACTATCAGGGAACACCCACCAACCCGTCCCTCTCCCTAACCCACTCTCCCTAACCCATTCTCCCTAACCCATTCTCCCTAACCCATGGGCTAGAATTGCACGATAGCCATATGCGTTGTCCGGCAGGAGCGGTTATCGCACGCACTGACACTGACCTGTCTCTTGCGAAACAGCTTTCTTATGACAGAATGCGGTAGCGAAGGGCAGCACCGCTGCATCCATCGGAGCGCCGACACATTTCCCACTGCACACACAGCCGGCTGGATGCGCAGCTCGTCAGCCGTTTCCCGCCGCACTCGATCCCGACTCCACTTCCTCTCGATTCGAGCATTTGCCAGTGACCTCATCGCCGCCAATCCGTGATTGTCGGCGACAATCACGGCAGGCAGAGTAATCCATGCAGAGGACAACGGCCGTCCTCTAGACAGCTTTTTTGCTTTCATAGGATCGCCCGATGAGCGATCTGGCAGCGGACTCCAATGTACCTCCCCCTCCTCCTCGTCTTGCTCCAACTCCTCTTCTTCTTCCTCCTCCTCATCGTCGCTAACCTTTCCCACACGGTGCTTAGCATCCACATTCCCTGGCCATGGATTCGAGAGCAGCTCGCGATGGCCTTCGCTCTGGGCTTCGAGAGGGTACAGAGGACCGCACCTCGAGGACGCGAAAGTGCAGGCGAAGCTGAATCCGCCACGTGTCCGGATTTGCGCAGCCGGGGATGACAGATGGTGAGAACATAACGATGACGGCAACAAGAAAAACGGCGAGCGCGACGAAGAAACGAACCCACGGGAGACCATCAAAAAGCGAGTTGACAAAGCGCGCCAACCGTGATTTCCCGCCAATGTGCCCCTCTGTTCGTCCGTTTCATCGGCGGGATTATTGAAAATATCTGCGTCTTGTTCATTTTGAACATAGCGGCGGGAAACACTGGGCGCGAAACTCGCGATACCTTCCCGCCGCCCGATACTTGGTGGGGCTAAGGAGGCTTTCCACTGCTCAGCCGGTGCCGCACACCGCCGATCGCAGTGACTTCCACGCCGCACACCGCTGGTCCACAGGCGAAATATTCCGAACTGCCTGGGGGACTGTCGGCCGGACGATGGCGTCTCCTGGTCCATGGATCTGATCCTGGAAAAGCCGCCATCTTCACGGCAACGCTCGTCGAGTGATGAGGCACCCCCTCCTCCCCCTCGATATGAGATAGCCTTCCAAAGATTACCTGCCAAGTCACTTCCACATCGGTATCTCGGTTTCTTCTTCCACAGAAGCGCCGCCGCCATACCGTGACCGTGGGCGGGATGCAGTGTCATGGCCACGAGGGCTCCCCACTGTCCCCCAGCTGATTCTTTGCCTCACTCTCAGCTCCCAGCATGTGCCCGCCAACTCTCACAGCTTGCATCATTTGTTACCCATCGTCATCGTCGTGGGGCGGCTGCACACTTTGCGCGGCTGCACACTTCCACTTTGCCTTTGCCTTGACTCTCGGAATTCGCCGACAGTCAAACGCTCTTCAATCTCTCTTCGGTTGTTCATATACTACCTCAGGGTTGGGCCTTCCTGAGGGTACCTGACCGCAAGTTCCGCAATCACAGACCGTGCTTACCTCCCTTCCCTGTCTCTTATACACATCTAGATGTGTATAAGAGACAGGAATTCGCCGACAGTCAAACGCTCTTCAATCTCTCTTCGGTTGTTCATATACTACCTCAGGGTTGGGCCTTCCTGAGGGTACCTGACCGCAAGTTCCGCAATCACAGACCGTGCTTACCTCCCTAGGTCAGTCGAAAACTGTCATAGGTAGGGCATAGGGACTCAGCCCATGCGGCTGAATGGTACACCAATGAATGAAGGGCCTTCCTGAGGGTACCTGACCGCAAGTTCCGCAATCACAGACCGTGCTTACCTCCCGAGGGCAGTCGAAAAAAGTCATACGGCCTGAAATATGGACTAGTAACTTTATACTTCATGGACAAACCCAGATGTGCAGTAACTTCGCCTCAGGCACTTGGTATAGGGCTCTGATTTGCAGAGGTATAGTGATGGAAGCCATTTGGGAAATGAGGAATGCAAAGGTTTCTAAGGGGGAAGACCTGTCCTATCAACAGGTTTTCAATACCATCAAGCAGAAGATCAAATTCGTTATTAGAGTTGATTGGCGCAGGAAAGGATGGCTGTGGTTTAATAGGACTTGGGCAAAAAACAACTACTTTGTCAAAGGTGTCCGCTGAAGGAAATCTGGTACTGGCAGATTGGCTCTAGGAGCTCATAGCACGGATGGTTGCTCGCCTTCTGAGGGCATGGGCCGTTTTTAGGCCAGGGAGTCTGAAAAAGGACTGGGCCGTTTTTTAGGCCTCATTGGGTGTTTTGGGTCTCTCTTGTTCGAGACTGTTCCCTGTAAACTTGAGCGAAAGGCTTCGATATCAATAATTGGGCTACAGGAGCCTGAAGGGAGAGATTGTTCAGACTACTAGTATCTGTTTTGACTGGTATTGAACTGCTGAAAAGCCCTGTTGGATATTATTATAGAGGATGGGATGCCGGACCCGGTCTCCAGCCTCTTTCTGGTATCTTCAAGAGACTGTCCAAGGGCCAAGGAGTTTGTTTTGCCTAAACTCCCCCTTTTTTTTTTCTGAGCTTAAAGAGAACTATTTTTTGGAAAGCTAATTAGCGTTACATGGGACACTGGACCCGGTGTCCAGTTGATTGATCATGAAGTTTTCCTTGTTATAGAGACTGTGGATAATCGAGCTAGCTCGTAAGCAAAACTGGCTGAGGCTGCCAGGTTAACTCCGGGTTGAACTGTGCTCGTCCCATTGATTTCTTTTGCAATATATTGTTAATTGCTTTCCAAAAAAAAAAAAAAAAAAAAGGTGTCATGAGTAGGGCATAGGGACTCAGCCCATGCGGCTGAATGGTACACCAATGAATGAACTGTCCATAAAGAGGCCGAAGATCGAATCCCCCGGACTCGGAGCATAAAGTAACTATGAATGAATTGCCTGGGGCCGGTCAGTTCGTCAATGATGATACGTCGATGCTGTCAACCTGTGAACGACAAAGATGATGATACGTCGATCCTGTCAACATGTGAACGACAAAAGAAAAGCCGTATTTTTTTTATTTTTATTTTTTTATAATGAAACGCCCCCCGGGTGATAGGGGTGTTGATAAGAGCAGCCACCGCTACCACCCGGGAAGAGGCTCCATCTATTGGTGGGGAGCATTACCTGCTGGAAAGCGGGTCCAGCGTCCCATATACAACTCATGATCAGAAAAACAGTTTGGAGGATCCTTGCCAGCATTGATTACCCTGGAATCCAGGGGATTGACTGAGCAAGGCCATGGAAAGAGTGGAAAAAAATAGAAAAGACCTGCCACTACGCAGGTTGTATCAGAGTATAACTGAAATGAAAACTAACTTCCGCAGATCGTCTGTACAGGATGTAACTGAGATGAAATCTGACTTCCGAAGATCGTCTGCAGACCCTGCCCAGGATGTTGAGCTGCTGAGAGTAAACCTCTTCGCCCCATGCCAGGCGCCGAATTTCTGCTGCTGAAGGCCTAGTTTCTCCTTGACAGCCTGATGGTCCACTTCACCC